CATCTAATGATGATGATAGTGGTCTACATCATCTACACACGGTAGCAAGGAAACTAGTACGATAGCTGTGAGCTCTCCTAACTATTGAACTTGATCAAGCTCAATAACCTCTGATTGACATCAACAAATCGCTGTATGAAGGGCCAAAAACGAATGGACGGATTGATAGGCAATTCGTCTATTCATCTCCTTGGGACAGTTAAGAAACCCCTTCCAACAACTTGGTTAGTCAATTGGTCAGAAAACGAGCCATCCAACAGGAATATGCCCCAAAGAATGGCAAGAAGAGCCCGCCCTTTATCCTCGAAATGTTAGCAACACGGAGTTGACATTTTCACTCTCCCCATCCAAATCGCTTCAATTTGGTGCCCTGGTGGTTATAGGGTTCTACGTAGTACTGTAATTTAGACTAGAATGGGGTACGTTAATCGGAAACTTCGTCTAACACCTGGCCTTGAATAACAAGTGGATCATGTGCTGGAATGCACCTCTTTGGTCAATGAATCAACATGTACATACTTCGTTTTTGTCAGGTTCAACGAAAGTACATTAGCCTTGAAGTACTCCATTAGCAAATTCACATCATGTTTGATGTTTTGTAAAATTGATTCGCAATTCGATCCTTTGTAGAAAATACACGTATCATCAGCGAAGAGTCGAAGTTCTCCAATCAATCCTAGTTTAGACAAATCGTTTATGAAACAGAAACAAGACCGGCCCCAAATTGCTACCTTGTGGAACTCCGGTATAGATGGTTTGCAATGGGCTTTTATATTGACCGATTGACACATGCTGCTTCCTGTTGGTAAGATAACTTTTGAATAGCATTTTAACGGCTCCTCGTATTCCGTAAACCTCCAATTTAGCCACGAGCAAGTCGTGGTCAATGGTATCGAAAGCTTTTTTAAATCTATAAAACGCTGTCCAGACTGGAGAGTTATAACATGTTATAACGGTTGTCAAATAATTGCAACACAGAAACCACCATCAAGATAGCGCTATAACATGTTATAACTCTGTAGTCTGAACGTACTATAAACAACGTACCCGCAAATTGGTTATTGTCTAATGCATCTATAGACGAGATCACATGTTGCTGTAAGAGTACTGGATCCTTCTCTGAATCCGTGCTGATGTTCGTATAATATATTATACTGTGATAAATAGCTAACAGTTCAGATCTTATCAATGATAGACAACGTGGAGATCGGACGATAGTTGTTCAGTTCCTTATGATTTCCAGATTTAAAAACAGGTACAACACGTGCTATTTTGAGGCAGTCAGGATATTGGCCAGTTTCGATGATTTCATTGTAAATCCACAATGATTGATGCAAAAATGTCAAAATGTTGTTTTACAAAAACCAAACGATATATTGTCGAAGCCGGATGCTTTCGTTGAATCCAGTTGGTTTATTAACTAAATCACCTCATTTACTGACGTAGGGCTCAAAAACATTGAATTCGGCTAATACTGAAGCGTTTCCAAACGATGGATATCACGATCGCTTCGTATCTGAGATGCCAAGTTGGTTCCGACATCGCAAAAATGATTGTTGAATATGCGGCAAACCTCCTCAGTGTCATCATAATGATGTAATGAAATTGGGTTGTTAGCGGAATGCTTAAATAAAACAGCAAAAAAAGGTTATCTTCCATTTAATTCCACTTAATTAATTTTGGTATCCATGACAGATACGTATTTCGACTACAATGTGCAGTCTTCATCAGTGTCATTCCCACTAAAGAATTTATCTAAATCTAACCCCTTTAAGTACTCATCTCCTAGGTAAAAAGGTCAAGATCACAGGTATAAAAATGAAACTACAATGTGTTGAATCGGAACCTACCTAACTAATAAAAACCAAAGATTTAAGTAAACTAAAGGAGACCAATTTCGGGACCTTCTAGTCTTAGAGTTACCTGTATGATAAAACCATAGAGGTAACTCTAAGACCAGAAGATCCCGAAGAAACGTGGTCAACTTTTTGGCTCAGCTCTGGTACTATCGTCAGTCCCAACCTAATCGATGCACCCCTCGAAACATAGGAAAAACCAATAACCCCTCATTTTCTCTATCAAACTTTCATAGCAAATCAAAACAAACATTGCGTAGTACTAGAATTTCGACTAGAATGGGGCACGTTAATCGTTTGCTTGGGACCAATAGGCTAGTCAAGTAGTGAGCCAATTTAAAATCGTTAGTTTCGTATTGATAAACTACGATCCAAGCTCTGGATTACTACGTTGACGTTCTGCTGCCAGCGGGTACCATCCCACTTCTGGTACTACTGATGTGCCTTCTAGATAATCGTGATATGCACAGTGGTTGAAATCGTCGTTTTTGCGCGCTTAATTAATAACATCTCTATTTTGATATTTAAGGGTTTGGGGGTCTTCTGAGAAGTTTATCACTAAATGTATGTGCTGCTTTTGGGCTTTTCAGTTCAAGGATTAATCCCCCTATATATTATTATATATAGGGTCCAATATCGTATTTCCTCGGCTGATCATCAACGTCCGTGTTGACATCTGTCATGCTGACACCTGTCAGTTATTGAGCCCTGGTGGTGAATTTTGCGGGGGACTCCCAACAGTTTCAATGTGCACTCAACAGGTGGCACTGCGATCACATAAGGGTGGTCATTATATGACTTGTATGAGGAATTGATTAGTGAGATATCTTGTTAATAAGATATCTTTGCCAATAGGCTAGTCAAGAAGTGAGCCAATTTAAAATCGTTAGCTGATTATTCGTGAACTCTTGATCGCTGGGAATGCTTGTGGATATTTAAGGTGGAAAAAAGGGTGAACAAGGAGGTGAACGTCCAAGCTTTTTCACATTTATATCGCTGTGAAGCAACTGAAAATTGCCAAGAGAATTTATATCTGTAACTGTAACCAGTTCGTTTTGTTTGCTAATCTGATTAAGATGTTATACTTAGGCTCTGAACCATATGGAGGATTATTTTAACTTTTGGTTAAAATTTGACAGATGAAAAGTTATCGATTAACCCTGCTATCCGAGCGTGGTTATTTCTGACAGACAAGAAGTTAAATGTTGAAAACCGTGGCTGAGTTCGAACATAGAAAATAACTTTCGAAATGTCACATTTAACCATGAGTTAAATTTAACTCGGCAAATGGTTCACAGCCTTAATTATCTTATCGTCCAGATCAAACCTTTGTAGGCGTAACCATCAGGTGGGACCATCATCATCATCTAAAAATATTCAATAGCATTCAATGGGATCATGCTAACTTTCATTTAGCCGTTGTTGCGTCCAATTTGGTGTAGTGGTAGCTGAGAAACACGACTTACTTTATTTTGTTACAGACACACATACACACGCCCTCCTAGAGTCATGTCTGGCCCAACAAACAATTTTTGCTTATTAAAAACTGAATAAATAATTTTTTAGCAGAAGTAGTAAAGTTTTGCCTGAATTAGCTCTTATTTTGCCTCCAATGAGGCTTGTCTCCAGTTTCTCGAGCGTCCCACACTTCCCAGATCTTGCTCCACTACGTCTAACCACCAAGCTCGCTGGGCTCCTCTGCCTCAATGTAGAATAAACGTCCGCAAACTCATCAAAAAACATGTTATTTTTTTCAGGCCACTCTCAACGCTACCCTCGGAAAGCTAGCCAAACGGCACTTCCAAACACTAGACGACGTATTTTCCTGCCTCATATTCATCGTGTGTGCAATCGCCATTTGGCATTTGCTCACCTTGGTCATCAGTACAGTGATCAAACTGATCCCACCATTAATCACGTGTTTTGTTTTTCTCGTCAGTTACTTTATATTTAATCTTGCTCAACTCTGATAACGCAAAAATTAATTGTTTTCCCTAGGTCCTATTCAACGAGCACTATTCCACAACGATGCTTAAAACGATCGGATTGCTGCAAAGCTTCTATACCCGCGCTTCATGCGCAATCGGAACGATAGTGTCCTTTCTCAACAAAATCGAATGAAATGGAACTAAATCAAAATATGCCCAATAAATAAATTTTCGTGATTTTTTATTCAGGATCGATCATATTTAACTTTATTCATTGCCCATAAAAGCGTGACTGTCCCAAGCTTGCCTGATGCTCTAATCATACGGGGGACAATTATGCATTGATGGGTGGGTCATTCTTCGAAGGCCGCTGCAGCGGCAGCCGTTCCGCATGAACCTACGGTTGTTAGAAGCCTCATCAGCTGTCTCGTACCCCAGAAGAACAGATATTCCATTGACATCAATGCAAGCTGGATCAGTTCAATCAATGGCTATAAAGGTTGTTCCGAAGATTTTAGAATGTGCATTACATTGTTATTCCAAACGAAGTACTTACCGTTATAACCGTTGCGAGAAGGAGGAAAATGTTATCTGCAAAGTAAAGAATGAAGGATCCGGTCGATACTAGAATGAACAGGGTTACAATAGTCAGGAACTCAATCAAACGAACTGCCACTGGCATGATGGAAAGAACTTTGACAGTTTCACGGAATGGAGACAGTTGAATTCGAAGGTGACTAGATCGGATTTGATTGACTTGGTGGTTGATCATTTAAAAAAAATATACAGTAATATTATTTGTGGATTGTTTGTGAGTGCGAAACAGCAGAATTTGGTTCTTTGCAAACCCCTCAGCGTGCACATAACCGGTCGGATAACCGGAACTCGTGCCAATCCCCATTTCAAGAGCAACAGGTTTCCCCACTGGGATTGTTTACAAACAGCATTGGGGTCGAAAATGGCGACTGTTTATGGATAGAAGCATCCCCAATGGCGCATGTCCTGGACCAGCTGGTGATTGTAAACAATCAACAAAGCAGCGTGCTCTAAGCACGTGCTCCCCTTCGTCGGCCATGCGTGCTCACCGTACTGGAAGGTCCACATGTTGATTGTTTACCATCACTGGAGGTGAATTTGGGACATGCTCACTGGAGGTACCATTGCGCAGGACTGGCCGAAAATGGAGCCCTTTATCCAGATTGGTGAAAAATTTTGCTGACAGGAGCTGGAAAAGTGAAAAAATGGACGCCATTGTTCTAGCTGGCGACGAGTTGTGAAGGAAAATTGTTCAAGATGGCGAAATATAAGCTCGGACAGTGTTAAAGTTGCCAGCAATCGTGAACTATCGACGCTGGCCGTTGAAAGCGAGTAAATTTGGTCGGGTCAGTTTGATCATTGGCGTAGAAAGTTGTTTTACATACAGCACAGCATTGTCCAGTGTGGGGTGGTGGTCGACATTTTCCGCAATATACGCAGTCAGTCAGGCCCCATTATTCTGGATATGGTCCAGAAAGATCTCGTCGCGAACGAATGCAAACGAACGGAACAGCTAGCTCGTAGGACTCTGCTGGAACTAGTAGCCAATGGTCACAACCATGTACATAAAGAATAGCTCGGGTTTCATCGCTTTTTCCGTTCTGTTAGTTTTTGCAATCTCGATTACTCGTAGTGCAGATGAGCCACAAAAAATCAAGTACAGCATGTGAGTATTTCCTTGTCATTAGCCCTGCAGGGGAATGTGACCTAATTCCTATTCGCCACCTGCATTCTTCCAGGGTCGAGGGATGGGCGTACAAGCTAGGCGGTGAGCTATCCGCTTTAGGAGATTTAATAACTAGAAGAAAAGCCGTAGAAGATGTAAGTAGTGTCCGATTGTGGGCTCAGGCGAGTGACACATCATATTATCGATTTTTCGTCCCATTCGCCATGTCATAATGAAGATGATGATAATGACGATGATATGCGAGTGTCTTAATTGATTCAAACTTTAATACTTGTAGAGTTTTAAACAAGCACAAGTAGTTAGCAAAAATGGACAAAAAATTGTGGAAGAGATGGCCAAGGACCTCAAGTACATGATGGATGCGAAAGTCAGCGCCGTTAAGGTATGTAGTGCCCCGCTTCAACCCGAAGACGCTGGTGTTTTCCTTTCACTTTTGAAGGATTATTGATTTTTGTTTTGGTGCATAGCCCGTGTTCCTTATAGCGAGGACAGCGAGCACACGAGTGTAGAACTTTTTGGGTTAGAAATGCGATGCATGCAAGAAAGTCGGATATTATTGATGCCTTGAACGACTGATGAATTTTGGCAACGGCTAGAATGATCGGGTGACCTATTTTGTGTGGATGGAAAGTTTGTTATTCTAGAATGGGGTGAATGCTAAACTTGCCGTTTTATTGAATTTGGTTTGGCAAACCGAACATTGGCTTAAGGGCTGGTAGCGATCAATGCTATCAAAAAATAGTGATTTTAGTGACCATGTTAAACCAAATGTGATTTATAGTTGTAAAAAAACTACTAAAAAGTACTACTAATAAGAAAATTAGTCGTTCTCTGATGGCACACCAAATAAATGTTTGATGTTTTAGACTTATTCAATTAGTATCGCATAAATAGTGTTAAACACTTACGTACGATATGAACGATGTATGTTTTTTATATGTTTATTGAAAAATTCAACTGACAATTATTGTCTAAATGAATAAAACTTAAACTAAATAGTTACGGTCAACGGTACGGTACGGTACGTCGAACATATAAAAAAAAGTTGTTGAATTGCCGGCTGATTGCTCGAATTGACTCGTGTTTTGTGTATAATTCCGACTCCGTGGTTCCAAAAACAGAAAGTCGCGTTGACGAAGAGACCTCTCAGGGGCATACATATTTAGCTGTGACAGCAGTGTTGGAAGTCAATGTCACCCGTAAGCAGCTTTCCAGCGAACGTAGCTTGAGCGACCGTCCGTCTCACCTCTAATGGCTCGATTCCCAGGAAACGGCAACGCTCCTCGTACGGTGGCAAGTTCGTTGGGTCACGCCAGTTGAGGAAACGAAGAGCATATCTCACAAACTTGCGTTGAACGGATTCAATTCTAGTGATTCAGCTAGCATGGAAAGGGCACCAAACAACTGAACTTGACTCCAATAAGGATCGCACAAGCATAGCGGGTCACGAAACTCGTCGGCAATTTTGAAAATAAAGCCCAATTGTCGATTAGCTCTGGAGATGATGTCATTGTAGTGGATTCTGAAAGTGAGTCTGCAGTCCAAGGTAATGCCCAGATCCTTTATGTGCTCTACACGAGCAAGACAGCGTCCGTAGAGAACTAGTCAAACATGATTGGTTCGATTTTTCGGTGATAGAAAAAATAATGTTACATGTTGACTCATCACATTTCTTGAGCACCAGTCAGTCCGAGAGGCTTTTAATAATTTTGTAGATTTTCGTATCGTCTGCGTAGAAAACGCGCAGCAAGGCGACGTCGTTTAAAAAGATCGAAAATAGTAGCGGTCCTACCTAACTGCCTTGCCGAACTCCCGAGTTGTTTGAGAAAACATCCGACTCCGACGCGCCAATCTTGACATGTCCATAGCGATTCACCAAGTAAGATCTGAACCAATCCACAGCAGTTGACGAGATGCCAAGTATCTCCAACTTGGCCAGCAAGATACTATGGTCCACCGTGTCAAATGCAGCTTTTAGATCCATATACGCAGCATCGACTTGCCATCCTGAATCCATGCATCGCAGACAGTTAGAAGTGAACTGCACCTGGTTCGTGGACACGGAGCGCTTCGGGTAGAAACCGTGCTGTTCTGTATCGATATAATTTTTGCAGCGTGCGAACAGAGCACCATTTATGATAATCTCGAACAGTTTTGAGCAGGCACACAAGGAGGTGATTCCACGATAATGTATGACATTCCGTTTATCTCCTTTTTTGTACACTGAGAACAGATAAGAAAGTTTCCAGCGGCAGGGGAACTCACATTGCTGTGCCGAGAGATTGACTAGCCTCGCAAGTGGAAGGCAGAAATTGGCTACACAACGTTTTAGAACTGATGACGGAATGCCGTCAGGTCCGGCGGCGAGCGAGAGCTTCAGTTTGCGTGTTACGTGGCATCCCAACAGTAGCGTCCAGCACTTGTGTTGGCGAAGCGGAGAAATCGTGGAACACTTGCTTGAAATGACGAGCAACAAGTCGCATTTTTCTCTTTCGCTATTAGCCGAGTCATTCCCGAGAAACATGGAACAAGGCAACCCGGATTCCTTCCGTTTGGAGTTGACAAACGACCAAAAACTTTTCGGATTCGTGCGAAGGTTCGCTTCCGTGCGTCTCACGTATCGATTATAGAGAAAACGATTGTAATTTCGATAACTACGACTCGCAAAATTGAACAGTCGTTTGTAGTACGGCGAGCGAGAGTTACAATACTTTCGGAGGGCGGCAGAGCGTTGACGTTTTAGCACGCGTAGGCGTGGGTTAGGCCATTGCGGCTTTAGCGGAGACCGTCGAGCTGGTACAATGCGGAAAATAGCATCTTCCAGTGCAGCACTGAAAAAATCCACACCATCATTCACGCTAGCGGCTGTTTCGATAAATTGCCAATCAATTTCCGCAAGCGCATTGTTCAATGCAACATAATCGGCCCGGCGAAAGTCCAAAGAGTAGCACTCAGATGTCGGCGTAGGTAAACTAAATGACACGACGAGAGCGGGATGATCGGCATCTAGATCAATCAGTGGCTTGACCGGCAAGGAAACAGAAGTGCCCGGTAGTGCGGAATCATTTGCCAGGACAAGATCTAGCAAACGTCCATTTCGGTTCGGAAAAGTATTCACTTGTGTGAACTCGTAAAAGTTAAAACCGTCCAAAAGAGCACAGCAAGCAACCGGCATATGCGAAAGCAGTGGATCAATTAATGGTGTGCCACTATCTGTAAAGCGCCACTGCAGACTATAGTCGCTATATTCATAGTCTGGCGAATAGAATTTCGATCTATCATAAAGCGGAACCAATTCAATATATTTTAGACCAACAATTGAAAAGGTACTATGAACTTTTATAAACAAAACGTTGATTATTCTTTCCTCGCCAATCGAACGCAAATTACCGGCACCATCGGATAGGGGAAACATTCGCCAACACAAAGATGGTGTTAGTTTGCGTAGGCGAGCCTGGAGTCACGAGAAAAGGGTTTCCGAAGTTTTGTTCGCAATAGCTGATGTGCTCTTTTCTGTTGTTGGTCGTGATTTGCTCGATTGGTTCCGCTATTTGACAGCTCAATTGGTTCCCAAGATTCTATCCGCCAGACTATGAATATAGCGACTATACTGCAGACCAGCTTGATTGTAGTCACCAAATACGAAAGCGGGATAGCAGGGACTTAATTGTGACGAAATTGAGCCTAACGATTCCACATGCTCACAAATGATCGTGCAGTCGTTTTTGCGGTCGGGAGGCAGGTAGATTGCGCCTACACTAAGCTTGCTTTGTGGAAGTTCTACGACAATCCACAGCTGTTCCAGTTGACTGGAAATGGGTAACGTAGCTGGCTAGTCTCGTAGATACTGCAATCAGGACTCCACCACCGCGCGATTTTTGACTGTTTAGGGCAGACCGATCAGTTCCGAAGATGGAATAGAATAACCCGAAAAGTTGCGATGAGTAAATTCGGTCGTCCAGCCACGTTTCCGTCAGCACAATCGGCCTCCGCAACGCAACAGCCAGGAAAAACGAGTCGATTTTAGTCCTCAGCCCACGCACGTTGTGGTAGTAGATCCGGAGATTATTCGAGGAGCAATCACGGGAACTAGAAATCGAAAGGACATCAGGTACCGAAAGCTTGGAATCGCTAACATACTCGCCTGAGGTTGCAGGCCGGAAGGCCCCGATACCATCACCGACCACAGGACCGGGACGATGACGATGGCGGATGTCTGCAGCAAGTGCGACTGGGTCGGGAGGTTCGGAAGCTTCCTCAGTGCCTGTTTTAGGGTGTCCCGGATCCGAGGAAGACCAGGTGGTGGCATAAACCTGCTGGTAGTTGGCAGAACGGATGCATGGACATGATGTGGCTAGTGTGAAGGTCGCAGAACCGGAAACACAGCTAGAAGTTGAAGCGGTATCAGGCAAAGGAGAGGCTGAATCGTCAATATACTTGCCAGTAATAGCTGGTTGGAAGACCCCGACCTACATCTACACTCAGGGCCGAGACGACTATGCAGATTGCTGGCTGGAATAAGCGCGACTGAGGCAGAGAATATTCTCTGAAATTTCTGGAACTTCTTTAAGCTTCAGCAATTTTCTTGGAATCAAAACGAAATAATTAATGTAGCCTTTCACTGAAGTTCTCAAGATATTCAACACTCATTCATAACTTCTTCAATAGTCTGGACTTTCTTGATGTTATTAAAACTGCTTAAAATATTTCCGACTTTGCTTAAGGTTTTCTAGACTGCCCTGAATTTCTCACTATTTTTTTATAAGAACCCAATTTTACAGAAATTTCTGTAAAGTTTTATTAACCCTCCGTTACTCGCGCTGTTGTACTTTGTACAACACACATGAGTGTTCCATTGCCATTTTGTTGCTGAGTTACCAATCGATCTGAAACCAACGAGTATTCCTCAAAAAAACTTGTTTTGATCTAAACAAGCTAAACTAATAAAATTACAGTAAACACATAAAAAAATGCGGATAATAAGGAAAATGTAAATGGAAACCGCGAAAACTGTGACCATACTACGTGGGATTTGACTTAATTGATTACAACATGGAATATATCAAGATTCTGACAAGATAGAAAGTTACTGTCTCTGACAAAGTTGTTCAGGAGATCATAGCCTTGTCGCTGGCGGACAGTAGTTCAGAATTTTCTCATTACGTAGCGCTACTATACATGTGAAATTCTCGCATGTGATATATCTCGAGATCCTGACCAGATAAAAAGTTACTGTCTTTCACAAAATTTTTCAGGAGATCAAAGCCTATTGCTTGGTGCTCAATAGTTCAGAATTTGCTCTCTACGCGACGCTAGTATACACGTGAAATTCTCATATAAAATATCTCGAGTTCCCAACCAGATAGAAAAGTACTGTCTTCGGCATAGTTGTTCAGGATGTCAAGGCTTTTTCGCAGGTGGACAGTAGTTCAGCGTTTTCTCACTTTGCGGCGCTACTATAGATGTGAAACTCTTGCATATAAAATATCTCTAGATCCTGACCAGATAGAAAGTAAATGTATTCGGCAAAGTTTTTCAGGAAGTCAAGATCTTTTTGCTGGGTGACAATAGTTTAGAATTTTCTCACTTTGCGGTGCTAGTATATACGTGCCTTTCTCCCATATTCAATAGCTCGAGATCTTGATCAGCTAGAAAGTTGCTGTCTTCGGCAAAGTTGTTTAGGGGGTCAAGACTTTTTGGCTGGTAAACAGTAGTTAATAATTTTCTCACCACGTGGTGTTTGTATACATGTACACTTCTCGCATATGCTATATCTCGAGATCCTGATCAGATAGAAAGTTGTTCAGGAGGTCAAGGTCTTTTGGCTGGTGGACAGTAGTTCAGAATTTTCTCACTTCATGATGCTAGTATACATCTGAAATTCTCGCATATAAAATATCTCACGTTCTTGACCAGGTAGAAAGTTACTGTCTTGAACAAAGTTGTTCAGGAGTTTAAAGCCTAGAGTTTATGAGAAAATTCTAAACTATTGTTCACCAGCCAAAAGCCATACCAGCCATATAGCATATTCGAGAAGTGTACATCTATGCCACGTGGTGATAAAATCCTTAACTACTGTTTACCAGCCAAAAATGCTTTGACCTCCTGAACAACTTTGTCGAAGACAGTAACTTTCTATCTGGTCAGGATCTCGAAACAAACCACATGCGAGAATTTCACGTCTTTGGCCAAATTTCACGAATAACTTTGTTGTAGACAGTAACTTTCTATCTGATTAGGATCTCGAGATATAGCATATGCGAGAAGTGTACATCTATGTCACGTGGTGATAAAATCCTTAACTACTGTTTACCAGCCAAAAATGCTTTGACCTCCTGAACAACTTTGTCGAAGACAGTAACTTTCTATCTGGTCAGGATCTCGAAACAAACCACATGCGAGAATTTCACGTGTATTCTAGCACTACGTAGTGAGAAAATTTTGAACTACTGTCCACTAGAGAAATCTATCTGATCAGAATCTCGAGATATTTTACATGCGAGAATTTCACGTGTATACTAGCGCCACGTAGTGTGAAAATTCTGAACTATTGTGCACCAAGCAATAGGCATTGACCTCATGAACAACTTTTTCGAAGACAGTAATTTTCTACCTGTTCAGAATCTCGAACTTAGCATACGCGAGAATTGTACACGTTTACCAGTGCCATGTGGTGAAAAATTTCTAGGCTACTGTTCACCAGCCAAAAAGTCTTGACCCCCTGAACAAGTTTACCGAAAACAGTAACTTTCTATCTGCTCAGGATCTCGAGCTATTGTATATGCGAGAATTGCATGTGTATACTAGCACCGAGTAGGGAGAAAATTCTGAACAACTGTTCACCAATGAAAAGATCTTGACTTTCTAAAAAACTTTGCCAAAGACATTTATTCTTTATCTCGTCAGAATCTAGTGATGTATCACATGCGAGAGCTTAACATGTATACGAGCACTACCTAGTGAGAAAATTTTGAACTACTGTTAATCAGAAAAAAAAAAAGCTATGATCTCCTGAACAGCTTTGCCTAAGACAGTAACTTTCTATCTGGTCAGGATCTCGAGATATTTTATATGAAAATTTCACGTTTATACTAGCGCCGTGTAGTGAGAAAATTCTGAACTACTGTCCACCAGCCAAAACTACTTGACACCCAGAACAATTTTGCCGAAGACAGTAACTTCTATCTGCTCAGGATCTCGAGCTATTGTATATGCGAAAATTGCATGTATATACTAGCGCCACGTAGTGAGAATTTTCTGAACTACTCCACCAACGAAAAGATCTGGACTTCCTGAAAAACTTTGCCGAAGACAGTAACTTTTTATATGGTAAGAATCTAGAAATATTTGCTCAAGTGGGTACAGAATTTGTGGTCGACGTCACCGATTTGTGCCAAAATTGGCCAAAACGCTTATTTTGACATTCTGGACAAACGCCTTTTTTTATTTTGCTCTAGAGTGCCCAGATCCTTCTGGACTTCAACCCTGGATTTTAAAGATTTAAAAAAATTTCAACTTTCAGAAAAGATTACTCCACAACCAAATACGCGATTCGTGATCTTAGAACGTTAATTTGAAGGTTTTTTAATTAAGATTCGTATAGGTGTACCCACATTTTGTTTTTGTTAAAGTAGCTTGAGCTGGAATGACTCATAGGTAAATTAATTTTTGTTTTCCATCTATATTACACTTTTCCAAACAAACAATAAAATTCTCACGCAAATCAAGATCACAAGCAAACCAAGCTGAACATTGCATTAGGTCCTAAGTAACATTGACAGATTATCTTTGCATCCACACGGTCATGTTAACACCTTCCCAACTATTTTCAGCTCACAGATCGATGAAAGAAGCTATTTTCTATCTTCTAATACGATAAACATGACAAGAAACGATTCTATACCCAAGTCGACGAAGAGAATCGATCAATGTTACTTAGGACCTAATATATTGTTCAGCTTGAAATATGTTCAAATTTGGATCAGTTACTGTAAACCTCAATACAAATTGACAGAGAAGTGGGCAGTAGGGGGTTGTAAACTCCAAGGGAAGATGCATACATGACGTAGCATTTTAGGGTGACCAGCCATATAGAAAATACGCTACATGTGGAAGGGGGGAAAAAGTTAATGCTTCATGAAACGTAAACAAACGTTAAACGGTATACTCCATAGAATGGAGCGATGGTTTTTTTGACAAGCACCATCCGGTTTCTTCAGTCGAATAAAGCGGACTGATAGCAAAGACATCATGATCATTATGAAAAAATGTGAAAGAATGTCATGGGCCTTCAGTTGAGGCCTACTTTGAGATTTGATTGCCACGGAAGATTCAATGTTCTGACATACCCTATTCCACCTAGCGCATCATGGACACCGCCGAGAATACGGCCATCTCGTACGACGAGGAACCGGTGAACCAGAGTTTTCAATACTACAATGCAAAGGAGATGATCGAACCGGGCGAGATCATTACCACACCGATACCGATGATCGACGAGGACCCGGCCGATATCACCACACCCATCCCCCCGAAAGAGATTGTTCTCGTCAAGAAGAAGCACTTCTTCAACGAAGCGGTCAACACCTCGGTCAGCTCGGTGCACGTGCCCACCAATGTGTACGATAGAGGTTTGTAGGCAACTGAACTATTTAGAATTCCCTTAAACTTCTCTCCCTCGCACTTCCAGCAACTGAAGTGATCAAAGCGATCAAGTGGTCCGAGGCGTTGGACTCGATCTTCTACAACAACTACATCGGTGACCCGACACTGACGTGGCAATACTTTGGCAGCTCGTCGGGCTTCCTCCGGCAGTTTCCGGCGACTAAGTGGGTGGAGGATCCAGTCGATCTTTACGACTGTCGGCTGCGCTCGTGGTACATCGAGGCGGCCAACAGTCCGAAAGATGTCATTATCCTAGTAGACAGCTCCGGTTCCATGACGGGCCAGCGGAAAGACATAGCCAAGCACGTCGTGTCCAACATCCTGGACACGTTAGGTCCGAACGATTACGTCAACATCTTCTCCTTTTCGGAAGAGGTGACCGAAATCGTCGACTGCTTTCGCGACACGATGGTCCAGGCAAACATGGGTAACATCCGAGAGCTGAAGCTGGGAATGGATGACATCGCGACGACTGAGATCGCAAACGTTTCGGCGGCGTTGACCAAGGCTTTCGAGCTACTTGAAACATTCCGTGAAAGCCGAAGTGGGGCCCGTTGCAACCAGGCCATTATGCTCGTGTCCGATGGTGTTCCATACAGTTTCGAGGAAATATTCGAGCAGTACAACTGGAAGGATCTGCCCTTCATTCCGGTGCGGGTTTTTACCTATCTGATCGGGCGGGAGGTTGCCGATGTCAAGGAGATCAAGGAGATGGCCTGTAAGAATCAAGGCTACTACGTCCACTTGAGTACGCTGGCCGAGGTACGGGAAGAGGTGCTGAACTACATACCGGTGATAGCGAGGCCACTGGTGCTGAACAAACGGGAACATCCGGTGGTGTGGTCCGAGGTGTACGCGGACGTTGAGGTAGACAGTCAGACGGATAGATCTGGGTGGGTTCGAGTTTTACGTGTATTTATTTTTCAGGATCCGAAAATGACCGATTGGTTGTGGGAGATCAAGGAACGAGCCGAGCAAAAGGAAAGGTTCATAGATTACCGTAAGAATCGGGTGATTTTCTTCTCCCCAGAGGAACAGCATCGTCGAATGATTATGAAGCAGAGAATGGTGAGTTACACTGGTTAGCAGTTAACATTCATTTAGTGATTGGTGGGTAAATTCATGTGTTTCTCGGGATTTGGGACGGGACAATTATGTGTAATGATTTATGAAAAAATGCTAGATTAGATATGGAGCAGTTCCATGCGAAATCTTCTTGAAAAAAGCTAGAATCTGTAGCGATTTTTTTTTCGATTTGAATGAAGACTTGGCAATGTTTTCAAAAGGAGGGATTGCCAACAGGAGGAGCGAGTTTTCAAGTTTATCGGTATGAAAGGTTTTTTGCCGTTTTTGAAGGACTAAGAACGGCCTTTTTTAGGAACGTCGGAAAGAATTTCCGGGGCATGTTTGAGTTTACTTCTGAATAAAACCACGAAAACTTCCAGAGAAAGCTGAAAGAAGCACTTCTGGAGGAAGTTTGAAGAAAATTCTAAGACAAGTAGGAAAAACATCTGGGGAACTTCCAAGACAAATATTGAAAAACTTATGGGAAATGTTTCGGGTGACACACCCAGACGAAGCCAGAAAGATTTCGTAAATCGGATGAAATTTCCAAGAGTAGTCATTTCCAGGGGAAGCTAGAAGATGTTCGGAAAAATCTTCCAATAGAAGTAGGAAAAAACCTTCGGATGAACTGCCTATAATCGCATATTACTCCTGTATGGATTTTGGTCAAATTTGAGATAACGACGCTATCCACTGTCAATTGACACCTATTTTCATATTGTGTGATAAAACTACGGACTTTGTCCATTAAAAATGTAAAAACAACATCAAGTCAGTTTGTCCGATCAAGCAAAATAATCGCATATCAGTCCCATCCTGAAATTCAATAAAAATAGTTCAAGGTAAAGTTCTGCTTTTCGAATTGCCATATTTTTCGCTGATATAATAAAACATGCAAGCTTCATTGCAACTGATTTTAACTTGAAAATATTATCAATAAATTTACTATGATTTTTCAAATATTTACATGGGAATTGCACGGTCATTTTCTCAATGCCTACTTTTCCCATATGGGACTGATATGCGATTATAGGCAGTGAAGCCAATGGAGCAACTTCCAGAGGAAGACGAAAGAAACTTTTGGGAACTGGAATCTTCCGGCAGAAGCTTAAAGCAACTTCCTGGAAAATCTTTCGTCTTCTGAAGAACTGGGCGACTGAAAACGCTGGAAGAAAGTTCCTGAGGTAGCTTGCAAGAAAGTCTGGTCCTTTACAGGTACCCCCCTGAGGAATGCTCAACTACTGAGTTCTAACCACCGCTTTTTCTCGGCGGGCTTACAACCAGTCGGTCTGATTTTTGTATACGAGTAGTGTCAATGGAGAACTAGTCACTCGCAGAAGATCAGAGCGATTGATTGAAAACCCGGCGAGACAAATTGGTGAGTAGAAATCAGCGTGGAACTGCTCTATGTATTAAAGATTTGTTTCTTTTTTAAAACGTAAATGCCATTACTTGCCCGTTGCTATGCTCCTCTGCCAAAAAAAAAATATGCAGCGTAATAAATCTGAGTAGCTATACGCATCTTGATATACATTTCGACTTATTGAACGAGTTTCAAAGGTTCCAAAGCATTTCAGTGTTTCGAAGTTACCACTACATAGCTGCCGATAGACTTAATAAAATTTTCATCTAAGCTTTGAGTCCCAAACTCCGGGAAACAGAGGTTGTATCTAGACAACTTTAAAACGATTAGATTATTCGATCAGTAATCATCATCGTTCTGATTCCTCCTCCTTTTTCACTTTTAGAATCAAGATCCGTATTCCAACACCCAGAAATACAATTTTATGACAACCGTGTCGATGCCTGTTTTTGACCGTCGAGAAAATGCTGTAAGTATTTACTTTCGTAATGGTTCCTATCTACCTTTTTCAGGTTACCCGGAGATTCAAGGTAATGTCATTATTACTGAGCTTCCGCCTAAGTTTCCTCAACGTTGAGACCTCTCAAACCGGGAGGCAATCAACCAAACTGTGTATACCTCATCATTATTTTTTTAACATTTTTTTTCATTCGCTTCTATGTTTTATAATACTGGTTTTCTTTTCATTCTATGACTATGAAAACAAACAAAAAATCCTATCTAAACCTGAACTTGTGTATACAAAAAAAAACTCAAACTAACCACTACTCAGAACATCACCGAAGACGTCCTTATCAATGAGGCTTACTGGGTTTCGGTAACACGAGAGGTACTTCGAATTCAGGATTTACTTTTCACAGATAAATAGTTTGATAACAGCAGAGTTGAACTAGGCCAGTGTTTAGGGCGACAGTTTGATTTTTAAAACAAAACGATATTTAACCACCTAGCAAGAGTTCTACTTAGTGTGCTAAAATCCAGTCAGATAAACCAAGTTAATCGTTGAGAAAGAGTTACCGATTGAAACCACATATTATTAGAATGCAACGTGGAGTGTTTCGTTTGGCTAGTTTCATGCGTGCTTGAGTGTGTGTGTGTGTATTTGTTCAATTGCATTATATAGAAAACAGATAACAGACATTTTCAGGCAATGTTTCTTAGGCAAAGTGTGTGTCAAAGTTTGATTAGTCAGTTTACTTTATTGCCAGCGAGTGTGTTCTATATACATATTTATTAGGTAGAGTACATAAATTGCATAGGAAAGCTAGCCCACTCAATCCCTTCAATAGGAATTAGCCAAAACCCAGACAGTATAGAATAGTTTCCAGGTTGGAATTATAAAACACCCTAATACTACTAGTTAGCATCGTATTTCCATATCCATTTCTGAGTGTGTATTTTCGTAGGTAGTTTCTAGTAATAAAATGCAGTATATTCAATCAATACTTCGAGCAAAGATGTTTGGTTGTTTTTGATCCGCCTCCACCGAAAAATAAATGTAATTTGAATTGAATCACGCAACAATGGAGACGCAGAGTACTTAACTGATTCCATTGCGACGGACCTGGATCAATTTCGATAGTCGAATTAGTTGTAAAAATTGCGAGCGTGAATATTATTTTAACCGGGCGCTCTGGTCTGGTGATTTTAGGAACAATTAACATGGTATAAAGCGTTTCAGTTCTTAGTAAACTTTGCCGTAGTTGAGCGTACAGTATGCGCCATAAAAAATGCGGATTTTCTTGCAAGTAGTATGGAGATATTCGCATTTTTTTTAAATAGAATTTGATGAGTTAACAATATATATGCATCATTTAAAGATTTTATAGAACATTTTAATGACTATCGTTTCATACATTCGTAGCTGTATTATCTTATTTAGACCTTTAGAGAGTTTAATTCATTCTTCACCGTTTATAAAAACAACCTAGTACTCATAACAAGTTTTGCTAGTACCTATAACAACCACCAAACAAATCACCTCGAAACCAAAAACAAAAACTAATGCCAACATTTCGTGTTTGCATGCAGACCAAGGTGGCGAACATTCTCGGTGTAGCCGGGGCTGACGTACCCATCTCGGAGATTAAGAAATATTTGAAGCCTCATTTGGTGAGTATATTGATGATATATAATGAAAGATTGTAGATGCAAATAACACTGGTTTCCACCTTTCCAGCTTGGAGTCAACGGGTACGCCTTCATCGTTACGAATAACGGCTATATTCTAACGCACCCCGATTTCCGTCCAGTTGTGAGTAACTTTGCTAATCATAATAATCATGAAAAACTTGGAATACCAAGGCACTTGGTACTTGGCACCAAATCTACTGAATGGGGACCGTTCAAATATTACGCATAGTTAAAAGAGGATTTTTGAATCCTCCACCCCTAATCGCGCACTTCCCCTACACCTAATCAAGACGCGTAACGATGTGCTACCCGAGCAAAGCTGGAGATCAAATTGAAATCAAAATTTGCTGTTATGTTGTAACTTATTTTGAATACTCCAGTTGATCTTATTTTGGTTTACTTAACAGCAAAAATGAGAGCAAACTTTTACACTGTTGAATCCAACGGAAAAGTAATCTTGATTTCAATGACATCAATTTAAATTTCTGTAAACGTAAGCATCCATGCTTCTCACGCTGAAAGATTTGAGCTCAAATCTCACCTCTGGCAAGTAACGAATTATCTAAAATGTGTTAAGCAAAACAAATAAACAATAAGCGTTAGTGCAACGACAGATGAGCTTAAATTAAATTTTAAACAAGACGTTAACAGCAGAACTTCAAGTTAACTTGCTTTCATTTAAAAAGCCTTGGCTGCATAATGATAGCACAATATGATATCAGACTTACGTCGTGACAATTGAAATCCAAATGAGTTTTCATTATGATAGGAACTGCAAACTTTAGTATCGATTTGCTTTCATTTTGTAAACAAATCAGCATCAAAATGACAGTAAATTGAATTCATATTTTGATGTCAACATTAAACTGAAATCCTAATTTGATTTCAGTTTACGCGATTGACAAATTTGATAACAAGTATGTTTTTCATTTTGCTATACATTTGCTCTTCAAAAATATGTTATTGCAGATTTGTTTTCATTGCCTTATCAAAACATCAAATTGAATTCTAATTGAACTTTTCGTTGGAGTTGGTCCACGAGAAGTAGTATGCCAGGGAACTCAAAGGCCAATCGGAAGGAATTGATTGAAGCAGTCCGAAATAATTTGGGTGGGGATTCAAAGTGAATTAACCATGAGGCAAACGTTATGATGATATAACTACAATCCTGAAACTACACCTAACAATCACCAACAGTTGAAAATCCCTTAAATGTTGATCAATCGATTAATCAAAGAGAAATTCTGAAGAGAGGATAATAATTACAAGGCAATCTAAATCTTAACATTCAGCCATTCCATAGCAAAAAGATATAGTGGTTCTCAGAATTTCGTAAAAATGGGTAGTTTTGTTCCTTATCGCAAAATATTAGACCCGTATTCTTTTTTTTTTTTTTTGTCATTAGGGTGACCATTTCCATGTTAGAGTGGTCCATGCGTTTCCATCGATTTATAGCGACTGTAACATGGTCACGACGCATGGTAGTCTAGTCTCATAGTACTAGGGGAAATGGCTCTAATGTTGGCCTATAAATCTAAGATTGTGCCCATCGAATTTTTTTTTTACTTTAAATGATCTATATTTCTTGAATTTGTGTGGTTTACATGTATAACTTATAAAGTGACACAAATGCGTCTCTTCAACTTTAGTTCTTTCAAATTTCAATTATTATTAATTACAGTTCCTAGTCCTATCAGGCCTGTTTTAGAGAATGACCACCTTGGTGGGATTGGTTTGTTTTAAGTAGAAAAAGAAAACTACTTATGACTACTATTTACAAGTACAACTATCCTACAACTACTATATACACCTAATCTACTATATACAAATTGCTTATCAAAGCATGTTCTGATAAAATACATTTTTGTGCAAATTTAGTGTTAATTTCGTTCATTTTGGAATCCATTTTGGCAATGCCTGCCTCTTTGTGTAAATTTGTTATTCTAGTGTCGAAAGGACGATCAAGTACCATCCTCAGCACTCTATTCTGAGCGACCTGGATTTTGTTCCTGTGAGTCTGTGCACATGATTCCCACACCGGAGCTGCGTAGAGGATCGCAGGTGCTATGATTTGTTTGTAGACAGCCAGTTTGTTTACCCTTGAGAGGCGGGATCTGCTGCAAATCAGCGGATACAGACACCTAACCAAGGCACTACAGTTTTCTCTAAATGCGAACGGAAGAGGAGCTTTTCATCAAACAACATCTCGAGATAGGTTACTTCGGCAGACCACTCAACCCTTGTGTCATCCATGATTACAGTACAAGATGGAGCCGGTTTCAGTTTGGGCGATTGCCGATGGAGGAACATGTTTTGAAACGTTGAAGTTTGTTCGTTATTTCGTGAGGCTTCTTTCCTTTGACGACTATTACGGTATCATCTGCGAACAGGAAAAATACGAAACCGTCTCCGAGGGGAGGAATGCCGGAAGTGTAGATGCTGTAAAGCAAGGGGCCCAGCAGACTGCCTTGCGGGACTCCTGCTGGGATGGAAAACGTGTCTAAAAGACGACAACCATTCAACGATACCTTAAACGACCTTTGCTGGAGGTAGTTACGGGTGATTTTAACCAGATGTAAAGGAAAGTTGAAGTTACAAAGCTTGAACACAAGTCCGTCATGCCAAATATTGTCAAACGCCTTTTCAACGTCTAACAAGGCCATGGATGTGGACTTGGATACAGCTTTGTTACTTCGGATGTTATTCATCACTCGTACTAACTAGCTGGTGATTGGTGGAGTGCCCCTTTCTGAATCCAAACTGTTCCGGAAGGAGAATGTTATTTTCCTCGACAAACTTGAGCAAACGATTGAGAATGAGTTTCTTGAACAATTTGCTCAGCGCTTAAAGGCAATGTCGGATCCTTACCGGGCTTGCGGATTGGTAAGATTTTTGCTACTTTCCAGATGCTTGGAAAGTAGTGCAGTTCCAAGCATCTTTTGAAGATAGCGGTTAGAAGAGACTGCACTTTCATGCTGAATCTCTTCAAGATCAAGTTGAATATGAGCATGAGCATGATTGACCGCCCACGGTTGCTACTCTGTTATTGCCAGACCAGCTGTAATTACACAGAGAACCAATAGACGATGCTTGGGACTAGCAATCATCCTCAATGTGTAAAAACTGGTGATCTCAAACTAGGCAATACCAGCGCCGGCCGCGCCCGAACACAGGTCAAGAAAGGAAGGGGTAGGAATGTGTTGACGTGACACTCGCTTTGATGGAAGCCGAGAACACCTCTGCACTTCCACGAGGAATCACTGGGATATTGGGTAATAGGGTTGGGTTTGCAGCAGGGTTCGTTTTGGTAAACGATAAGCTGAATTGACAATCATATTGACAATCATATAACACGAAAAAGCTTGGGATTGAACCCACGGTCTTCTGCTCAGTAAGCAAAACCGGTTGCTCTAAGGCCACCGATCCCCTCATATCACATTATAGCGTTACTCAAGTTTTTATGACTATTCAGACCCGGCACCGACGACAACGAAAAGTTTTACAAAATACACGATAAACAAGCGATCTAACCATACCTTTTTATTATGAAAGGATCTGGGACCACGTTTTTCTGCTCAGTAAGCAAGCCACTGCAACCGACGATCTTTGAAATCCTTAAACTAAAAGCTATGAAAGAGGCCTTCATTAAGATCCATTTTCACGCGACGTTAAATGTTTCGATTTTCTCTTTACGCATGGTTCAGGTAATCATAACAAGCTATGACCGACGTGACGATTGTTTAAGACCTGGTTGAACAAGCTATTCAAATGAAAATACGTTCTCGAATTTTACTGAACAAGAATGAACAACAGAAATACGCGATAATTCATATTTTCAGCGGTTGGTGGTTAATTTTAAATAAACTAACGGTACTGCCTACGACTACGACGGCGATTACGACAGCGACTACGACGGCGCCTACGACAACGACAACAGCGAATTTGTAACTTGCCATTTGTCTAGGATAAACACCTTTGCCCGGCACCTCCACTGGTTCTTCATGTCCGCTATCTGTCACTGTTTGCAAAATATCTAATAGCAATTACCTTCCAATACCAATACTTCCTGTATTGCCATGGTCATCTGGGAGGAGGGTCGCAGCTAGTGCTTTCCCGAACTACGAAACACGTTCAGAAGCACTTTTGGTACACTTTCGTTCGAAAACACTTAATTTTTTTGTTCAAAAAGAGTTGCGAATGAACCAACATCATCACCGCGTAAATAAACTAAAATTAAAATTATCGCTCGCCACAAATTTCTGGACCGGGAGAAAAAATCAAACAACGCAGATAGCGTCAAATCTTCTGTTGCTTGCAAACATGATGAATCATGTTTTCTTTCTCGATTCTAAAACTTCTCGGAAAGCGAGAAAACCACCACTCACACACGTATAACCGTCCGGGAGGCAGAGTGCCAGCGCTAATCCGGCAAATGCAGCCGAAAACTATGAAAGCTAATGCACGCACATGCCGGCGCCGGTGGTGTAGTGGTAAGCGTGACTGCTTTCTCACCCCAATGGGTCTGGGTTCAATCCCAGTCGAGATCGGTGGGATTTTTCTGAGGCATAAAAATCTCTGGTCACGTCTTCCTTCGGAAGGGAAGGAAAGCCGTTGGTCCCGGCCCATGTGTGTTGATGAATGGGTGCGATATCCTACGCAAGTGTGGAAGCTGCCTTCCTTGCACATTCGATTGCCATCAATGGATGGCAATCGATGTCCGTCGGTGATTGGCACTAGATTGCGGAACAGAGACCGACGTTAAATAAAGGAAAAAAAATAATGCACGCACAAAACAGAGAAGAAAATTAAGACACAACCGTATCCAAAGGCGTTCGAAACTCGACTCCCTTTTCAAGATCAAGTTGAATATACCGTCAAACCCGGGAGCCTTCATGTTCTTGGTACATTTCAGCGCTGAGCATATCCGCTGGCGATCAAGCCGAATAATGTTGTGGTTAGGCAACCAGAAGCTGTCGCCGGACTTTAGATGAGTCTCTGATGGGAGGCCCACGTCGATACTATGCTTGTGGAGGAAGTCAGCAAGCTCGAACTTTTTGGCTCGTACAGAGCAAGCGTTCCAAGCGACTATAGTTAATGGTTTAGACGCCATACTGAATAATA